CTTGACCGTGTCATTCCCAGCATAGTAAAGCATGTGACCTTCTGATTCCAAATGGCCAATACTGGTCACTTAACTCACCAATGCCTCAAATGTTGCTTTTCATGTGTTCCATCTTGTTTTTTGACCACTTCCACTTTTCCTAGGCTCATACCTTGTATTCCAAGTTCTGATGATTGATTGATGTGTGTGGCTGTTTCTTCTCAATTTGAGTTGTGCCCCGCCAGCAGATGAAGGTTCTGAAGGCTTGCCTCCCACAGGCTTTACTTGATCCAAGCCATTGGTTATGGGTGACTCCTCTTTGAGAAGGCAGCTCTTGCTCAGTTACATTTTGAGTGCCTTCTGCCCTGAGGGATCCCTGGTGCTGTCGTGGTTCCGAGTTGGGCTGCAATCCCAAGTGGAAACCACAAGCCGCTCCGGGGGAGAAAAACGGGCCTTCCACTTCCATGGAGAGGTACAGTCTCCCAGGGGCAGGTCTGCCCTGTCCTAGGGGATCATTATGAGTTGGCATTGACTTGATGGCAATGAGTGTCTGTCTGAACTGAGGGGCTCATCATCTGGCACCATCTCTGGTATGTTCTTTTCATGAGGTTTTCAGTCTCTGACACTCTCGATCCTGCCCAGAAGGTTTCCAGTGCCCGATGCCTCAGAAGTGGACAGCCAATTCCTTCATCATAGTCTGTTGTTGGTCTGGAAGCTCTGCTGAAACGTGTGCACTTTGGGGGGCCCTCCTGGCATTTGAAATCCCAGCGACATTGCGTTAGGTCCAGCATCACAGCCACACACGAGGCGCCACGGATGGCGGTCGGACGGACGGACGAGTGGTGGAGAAGAGCAATAGCTGTGCTGATGAACTGAGTCCTCACTATTTGCTAGGCACAAGCTCTGATTGTTGCTGTGTTATTGAAGCCCTTTCCATCACTGGTTCATAGAGCCAACCAGCCCCGAGGGCTGCTCTCTTCTGGAATTCTTTTGATATGAGGGGGAAGGAAAGTTCTTACTGCTCACTTGGTTTGTGTCAGATCTCTGTTACCTGCAGCGACAAGCACCCTCATTGACGGGCCCGTTATTTGTGCCCTCAAGGGATGTCTTCGTCTGTATTCTCCAGGGGAGCGAAATCGGTGATGCATTTACAAATACACACAGAGAGGGACTTACTTCAAGGACAGGGCCCGTGCGATTGCAAGCCCCAAATCTGTGCATCCGGTGAAAGCAAAAGACTTCTGCTGGTTCCCCTGACTGCAGGCGCTGAGGAAACCAAAGCCTGCAGGGCGGAGATTTCTGCCAACTGACTGCCCAGGAACTGGAGGTCAGGAGAAAGAGTGCAGGGTCCAGAAAGAGAAGGAAGGGGCTGTGCCAGAGCATCTGCTCAGAGACTGGGACTAGGCCACACCCAACAGCAAACTCTCCTTTCAGCTGATTGGCTACTCGCATCAGATCACAAACGGAAAGGTGGTTATTAAGGGCCTGTCAAACCACTGAATCATAGCCTAGCCAAGTTGACACATTATGGTGTGTGTGTTGGGTGGGTGGGGGGGTCGGGCAGAGGTTGGGTGCACAGCTAAATTCTTCTCTGACCTGTACCCTGGGAGATAGAGTATTAGGATTTGGTGGTGTAGTGGTTATGCCCTGGGCTGCTCACTAAGGTCAGTGGTTTTCTGAGAGAGAAAGAAAGACAAGGCTTTCTACTTCCTTGGAAACCTATAAGGGCAGTTCTACCCTGTTTTATAGAGTTGCTATGAATGAATCAGAATCAGCTTGATGGCAGTGAGTTTCTTTATTTGACTTTTATCAGTGAGAAAATTGAGGCACAGAGAGGTTTATTCCTGAGCCCAAGGGCTAAAGTCAGGACAGATGTGGTGCTCTGGCTGGCCATTTGAGTCACATGCCCAAACAGGTAGCCAAGATGTGAGACTGTGCTGTCAACAAAACAAAAACACCACCACAGCAAAGGAGGAGGAAAGATTTGGGATAGGAAAAGCAGCAGGTGGCCCTTACACTAGGCTGCAAAGGATGAAAACCCAATTCAGACCAATTGGGAGCTAAAGGACGAGCTATCTCATGGAAAAGAAGGGTTTAACAGCCAAATCACTGGCAGGGCAGGGATGCAGGTGGCCTTCAGGGATGGCTGGAACCAGGTGTGCACGTTGGCTGAGTGCGCAGATTTCCTTCTAAGCTTCTCTCTCCCTGATTCCTGATTCTTCAGACTCCTACAGAAGGACTTTGGTTGGCCAACGCTAGGTAGGATGATCTTACAGACCAGGAGGGCAGGCTCACCTGAGGACACGACAGCTCCTAGACATACTACAACGCTGAAGCAGTGGGGATGGCTGTGGTGGTTTCTAGAAGAAGAATGGGGACAAGGTGGGTGCTGTCTGCTGCCATTAAGTTAACTACAGCTCATGGTAACCTGTGGACTGCAGATCAAAACGTGGCCCTGTCCTGCGCCGGCAGCGTGATCAGTGCTGTGTTTGAGTCCATTATTGGGACTATGATCCCTGCACTGCTCTGTGGCCCAGGAGACTGACTGCAGGGAGTAGCACACAATAAAGCAGAGTGCAGGTCAGATACAAATTGAGGTGTCCTCGTGGGACAAGTGTGGTGTGTGTATTTGGAACACCTATAGCTAACAGGTAGCAGAGAACGTGACACAAGCCAACTTTCCAATAAGGAAATGGATCCCGTGTAAAATGAAGTCCGGAGTGAGGGAGCCCTTGGGGCTATTGATGTAGTGATTCAAGGATGCCATCTTCCCATCACTCTGCTCAGCTGCTATACACAGTCGGCTTCATCCTAAGGGCCAGTGACTCTCCTGGTCCTATGCTAGCTGTTGTTAGCAAGAGAAGGGCAGCCTCTCAACCAACAATGGGATAAGACTTCTCCCTTCCATCCCGCCCTGGCCCTGGCCCTGGAATTATCACCCAGAGAATCCCATGCTCCACTTGGCTTAAGCTTGGGTTCCTGGGTCCAGTCCCTGGGGAGGAGGAGATTGCTATGATCCTGCAGATGATCAGGACACAGCTAAGATCTATTCTAAGATGACTTTGCTGCCTCTAACTGGGGACAGGCGGAATGAAGATAGGTTGAGAACACAGGTGTGTCCCTCATGTCATGGCCCTTCTGCCTTTGTCTCACAGGGGTCCTGTGGCTGTCGGTGGTCTCCGAGGTGCTCTATATTCTCCTGCTCGTGGTTGGCTTCAGCCTCATGTGTCTCGAACTCTTCCACTCCAGCAACGTCATTGATGGGCTCAAACTCAATGCCTTTGCTGCGGTCTTCACGGTGCTGTCAGGTAAGGCTGGCGCCTCAGGCATGGACTGGTCTCTGAATGGAGGTTAAGCCCTGGATGTATCTCCTGGGGGGCCTTTCCTGCTCGGCGCTTCCGTTTTTCATTTGTAAAATGGGATATGTCGGCTAAGTGTTTATCAAGCTTCACCATGAGACAGACATGGTGATGACTTCTGGGGTAATGTTGTTCTCAGGTGCCATTGAGTCGGTTCCAACCCATCGTGACCCTATGCACAACAGAAAGAAGCACTGCCTGCTCCCTGGCCATCCTCACAATCGTCCTTATGTTTGAGCCCATTGTTGCAGCCACTGTGTCGGTCCATATCCTCGAGGGTCTTGCTTATTCTCACGACTCTTCTGCTTTACCAAGCATGATGTCATTCTCTAGGCACTAGTCTCTCCTGACAACATGTCCAAAGTATGTAAGACAGAGTCTCACCATCCTTGCCTCTAAGGAACGCTCTGGCTGTATGTCTACCAAGATTGGTTTGTCCTTTAGACAGTCCATAGGATTTTCCATATTCTTTTCCAGCACCACACATTAAATGCATCTATCCTTCTTCTTCCGTCTTCCTTAGTCATTGTCTTTCACATGCTGCATATGAGGCACTGACAATACCATGGCTTAGGTCAGGTGGGCGCACCTTAGGCCTCAAAGGAACATCCTTGCTTTTCAGTTCTCAAAAGAGGTCTTGTGCAGCAGTTGAACTCGGTTCTCTGTACTCTGGGGCTATAATAATGGGCAAAAGCAGACATTAGCTGCCCTCTCGGAGCTTCCACAGTGGAGAGGAAACAGATGAACTGGAGATGTGTTGAGATGAAGGGCACAAGGATAGGTGAGGGGTGGGTGATGGGGGGGAGGGAGAAGGGGTGGGGTGGTAGTGTAGGACCAACTATATGGTGGGTGTCATTCACAGAGACTGACAAGTGGAGGAGGAGCGTATATGCATGCATGTGTGTGTGTGTGTGTTTGTGTAGGGGGGGAACGCATCACACATTGGCTTTAGTTTCTTTGCTCTTGAAGTCTCAAAATGGAGATGCCACGTTGGAAGTTGGGTGCGAACAAATACTTCCAGAAACACAGGCTGGGCAGCTACCTTGGAGGAAAAGATTTGAAGGTTTTATGAAGACCGTGGACATCCTATAAGGTGTATACATCATGCATGAAGGTCAACAGCTGCATATGTATCAGATAGGTCCTCAGCAGAGGACCTCAGGAAGAGGCAATTGGACTTGGTGACCAAATGCCCAGAACACCGTTTCATCAGATCCGGGTGATAAGGAGTTAAGTGGGTGTGCCCCTGTGTTAGTCCGGGTTGACTGGAGAAACAAATTCATAGACA